CCCCGGGCCTGGGCTGCTGCTGGCTGCTCCCGCTGCTGGGGCTGCCTGCTTTCCCGGTCACCTGGGTCCCGGAGCTCTGCTCTCCGGCCGCGCTCTCCTCAACAAAAACCTCCCCCCTCCACACCCCCCTCCCCACTCCCACCTCCTTTCCCCTGACATCAGTGATGTCAGTCTCAGGGGGTGGAATACAAATTCCCTACCCTGGAGAGGGACGCACAATCCAGACAAGCGCCACGCCCTCTTTCTCTCTCTTTCCTCCCTGACTCCCTTCCCGCCCCCAGAAGAGCAGCTGGCCCTGTTGATAATAACCCTTCCCCCATCTTACTCCCCAATCACGAGTTGGGCAAGGCACTAAGATGGAGAATTTATAGAGGAGCCCTAAGGTGGGGTCCATTGTTCCGGGGGCTGGAGCTGTCCCTGGTGCTGGAAGAGAAGACCCAGGAGAGGGGAGCAGGGGGGAGGAGGAGAGGGGAGCCGGCATCTGGGGAGACCGAGAGTGGGGAGCCAAGGAAAGAAACCAGGGAAAGAAAATGGCATAGGAACAGTTGGGCAGGTTGGGGGTGAAGGGAGGTGTAACTAGGAAGGGAAGCAGGTTGCAGAGCCTGGGAGAAAAGGGCAAAGGGACCCAGAGAGGAAAGATGGCAAGGGGAGAGCGGGGTGAGATGAATGCAGAGAGAGAAAGGTATATTTTCCAGAAAAGGAACCAAGGAAAGCTATATCTCGTTGGCATTTGCAGACGCCCCCTTTGCTCCCTCTGGGGGGTTTGTGTGTATAAGTGCGTGGGCAGGGAGGCGGCGGTGGTGACGGCGGCGGGAGCTCTCACTTGTAAGCTCCTTGAAGACCAGGACACGGTTTAATTCAGCGTTTTACTTCACAGTGTCTGCCTAGTACAGTGTCTTGCTCATACATAGTAGGTGCTTAACGGATATTTCTCGAATAAACAGTTGATGCAAAGAACCTCCGGCAAGAGTAGATTATTGATTTCAAAGCTGTCAAGCTCCCCTTTAGGGCAGAGGAAACCCAATTACTCCTCCCTTTGCTCCCCATTCCCCCTTAGGTTCCTTGAGTGGGACTCTCTAATTAAGCCGGGGAGCAAAGCGGGGTGGGGAAGCACATTTGGGGGCCATTACTCCCCTAAACAACTATACTTCTATGGATGACAGGTTTGCTCCATAATCTCAAGGGAGCTTGGCCCCTCCATGCGCTGGGCCCACTCCCAGCTCCCCCTCAGTGCAGGGAGTTATCTGCTGACATCAAACCTGCTGGATGGGGCAGCCCTTGCCTGCCATCAGGTGCTCACCGACAGGGGCTTGAAGATTTGTGGAACACCTCACCTCCTGTCATCCCCTCCTTCACCCCAGAATGGGGCTGCTGTCTCTCCATCGTGGTGCTGGTGTCTCTGAAATAGATCCCAACTGAATCCCAGCAGCCCCCTCCTCAGCTGTCGCTACAGGCAGGCTTCTCTTCTGGGAAGGACGTAATAGTAATGGTCAGCACTTAGATGACATGCGGTGTCCCAGGCGTCGTTCCAATTGCCTTATATTTACTAACTTGTTTAAACTTCGGCACCACCCCATGATATAGGTTCTATCATCACCTCCAAATAAAGATGGGGAAACCAAGTCACAGAGATGAAGTGACTTGCCTAAGGTCATGCAGCTAGAAAGCGGTCTAGCTGAGAGTGGAGCTGGGCAGCCTGGCTCCTGAGATCACGTATTGAACTCCCACATCAAACCCTCCTGGTGGGAATGGGGGAGTGGTTAAGCCTGGCCATTCTTCTTCCTGTGAGCCCCGGGTGGGAGGTGTCCTTCTTTCTGATGTCTGTTTTTCTACTGCCTGGTTCACTGTGACCACCTTCCATCCTTCCTTAGCCTGGGTGTCTGTGGCCTGAAGCCACATTTGCATGTGTGTGTGTGTGTGTGTGTGTGTGTGTGTGTGTGTGTGTGTAGACATGATTACACTTCATCATATGGACACCCAGCTCCTCCCAGTAGGGCCCCTAAGAGTGGGGGGTGGGGGAGATGGTAGAGGACCCAGTGATGGGTGACCAGAGCATGTGATGGCAGTGCTAGGGAATCAAGAGTGCAAACACATCTGGAAAGTAACTTTCCACTCATCTCCCCACCCCCACTACTCCTTCTCTTGCCTCTAATCTGATCTTGGTATTTATGGAGATGCTAAACAGATCACGCCCTCTGAGGACGGAGCCTAGGAAGACCCCACGGCCCTGTTGATCTCATTACTCTGTGTCTTGTCAGCAGATCTGCCGCCCTGCTGCTCGTTTAGGCTTGGGGCTAATCATATTAATTGAAATATTAAACATTCACAAAAATGAATTATAATGAACCCCCTCACTCCTCCTCCTAGTCAGCAAATGGGGGGTCAGCTGCAGGCAGCATGATGCCTCCATTCCTTCTCTTAGTTCGTGGTCCCCAGCTGGAAGCTTTCGTTCTGAGAGGAGAGGCGGGGTTTGGGGGAGAAGAGGTGGGAGTTTTGGTCAGGCCCTCCTAGGGTCAGGCTGGTGGCTGTAGGCACGTCTCTGTTTTCCTTCAGATTGTGGGGGGAGGGGAGCCCTGTGAGGTAAAGACTGGGGGTCCCCTAGAGGCTCATTCTGGGGAGTTGCTGTCCGGGAGGAAATGAGGAGTCAAAGCCCAGTTCCTCCAAGGTACTTTCTCTGCCTACTGTCCCCAAGGTCACGCTCTTTCTTGTTCCTCTGCACTCATTGCTAAGCTGCCTTACGTAAAAAGATTATGGACTTTATAAACGGGGTAGCTCATTCCGGGTTTTAGATCGTTAGCAAATGAGAAGTGCTGAATAACCGGGATATTTGTCAGAAAGGGCAAAATGTAGTGGTGGCATGTGTGGGCAGAGTGGCTGGTCACCAAATGCCTGGTGGCCTCACTAACGGAAAACAGTGAAGACATCAGCACAGCATCTATGAAAGTGCAAAGAATTGACCATAGAACCCCATATAACCTTCCTTCCCTCCAGTGGCTTCTACCTGAAATGGAGAGGTAAGACAGGCCAACAGGAGATGCAGTACTGAAAACTGAGATTCTGTTAAGAAAAGTAGCCTCTTTACAGGAGTTTAGGGTTTGAGCCATGGGATGTGATCAGTCAAGAAAGGCCTAATTGAGGGCTGGCCGAGTGGCTCAATTGGCTAAGAGCTCTCTCAAGGGTGTGAGCTCTGAGCAATAGGATTGCTGGTTCGATTCCCAGCTTGAGCTGAGCTGCCAACCGGTGGCTCAGCTAAAAAAAAAAAAGGCTTCATTGATTCTCAAAACACAAGAAGATGGTTGAGCAGCAGCTGGGGGACTTGACTTAATTACTTTATGCATGGGGGTGTGTAGATTTCCCAGTCCAGACTGGCACTTAATACAGTATAATGTTTAATATAATGTAGGCCATATATAGAACTTAAAATTTTCTGGTAGCCATATTAAAAAAGTAAAAAAGGAACAAGTGAAATTACTTTTTTTGTTTTTTATTTTAAAGAATTTTTTATTGGGGAGTTGGGGGGGCACAGACAAGTTGCTGTCTTTTTGTTCTTCAGTCTGGTTGTGGAGGACGACGCTTCACTGGCCCATGATGGTATTATCATTGCGCTCTTCCCGAGTGAGGCAGTCCCTCACCAGCCATTGGAGGACCTAATGGGGGCTCACAGCAGCTTGTGAAAGCTCATGGCTGCTGCCGGCCAGCTTGTGCGCCGTCTGCGGCGACTCCCGGCAGCCCAGCTCCAGGTCGAGCTGTTGTTCACCATCTTAGCTGCAGAGGGCGCAGCATCACTGGCCCTCATGTGGGATCCAAACTGGGGGTCTGCTGCTCAGAGCTGGCGTCCCAAGCCAACTCCTAACCAACGCGCTACTCGGTCAGCCCAAATTACTTTTAATAATATATTTTAGGGCCAGCCAAGTGGCGCGATGGTTAAGAACTGGCTTGGGATGCCAGAGAGCCCCGGTTCGGATCCCACATATGAGGGCCAGTGACACTGCCCTCCACAGCTAAGATGCTGAACAACAGCTCAACCTGGAGCTGGGCTGCCTTGAGTCGCCGGCTACGGCTAGGCTGTAGCCCCTGTGGCAGTGGGTTGCCATGGGTTACCGTGTGTAGCCAGCAGCTGCAGTGAGCGGCCGTCCAGAAGCGACGACTGATCTGCCTTGCCCGGGAAGAGTGCAATGATGGTGCCAACTTGGGCCAGTGAAGCAACATCCTCCACAACTAGACTGAAGAACAAAACGACAGCAACTTGTCTGTTCCCCTTCCCACAATTACCCAGCACTGTTCCCATCCCCCCAATTCCCCAATAAAAATCTTTAAAAAAATATATATTTTTTTTACTTCACCAATATGTCCAAAATATTATTTAATGTGTTTATACAATATAGCCAAAATATTCCACATGTCATCAATATAAAGATTATTAATGAGATAGTTTACATTATTTTTTAATACTAAGTCTTCATAATCCAGTGTGTATTTGACTCTATCAGCACATCTGACACTCATAGGACCATTTCATGTGCTCAGTAGCCATAGGTGGCACGTGGTGACCCTACTGGACGGTGCAGCTCTAGAGTTTCCCCCACTATCTTCTCTGGGGGTTCAGGGGTGGGGAGAGACAGGTGTTGGCCAACAGGAGCTACCATCTCTGATTAACCTCTGCTCCTGCCTGAAGAGACCACTTCTCGTAGATGGCAGCTTATCTTCCCTTCACTCCATTCACTCTGTCTCCTAAAAAACAGACAACCAACCAAAATGATTACTAACCTGGTTGGAGTTCCCAGGAAGAGGCCTGGAGCCCACAATCTAATCTGCCTCCTGTGGGTTTTTCCTGGCTTGGGAACTGCCAACACTTTCATTCTTTTCCACCGTCTTTGCTGAAAATAGAGGCAGACCACCAAGAGATCCCTCCAAGGCAAAGGCTTGTTTCTCAGGCTCTTTCCTTGCTCCTTTGAGCAGTTGTTCGCCAATCTGAAAAGACATCCTCACTTTGGGGGGCTCTCTTCACAGCCTGGCAGAAGACCTCCGCTGGGTGAGATCCCTGGGGTGTAGAAACTCAGCAGGTGGGTATCGACAGACAGGCCGCTGCCCTTTCCAGGCCACCGCTATTTTCAGCTCTCTGGCTTTGTTTCACTTTTCCTTTTTAATCAGATAATAAAAGAACACATCTTGAAGACCGGCTGCCTTTTCCCTCTCCCATTCTATTGGGGATGGGAGAAATAATTTAGAATTCACCAAGACAAGCTAATCTACACAAGAAAGTCAGTCCAAGAGGGGAAACTTCTGGCAGCATGACCCCCGGTTCCTTTCCAGCATCTTCAGTCTGAGAACAGTCCTTACTTTGGTGCCATCCGTTCACTCCATCCTATGGGGTGCTTTCATGTCGTTTTAAGAATCCAGGACTTCAATGTCAAGGGTCTACAGGACAGAGGGAAGGGCTTGGCTTCCGGGCCAGTGGAAAGGGAAGAAGCCTGGATTCTCTTTCCCTACCAGGCTTCATCCAGGTTCCGCCCAACAGAAGGTCAGGAACCAGATTCTGGGAGACTCTCTCTACCTTAGGAATCCCTTTTCCAGTTTTGCTCTAGAGCTAAGAAAAAAACTATTTGAGGTGGGGTGGGGTCAAGGAGAAGGGATCGTTCCATACACAATCACGCCAGGAAATCAGTCGAGCAGGAGATCCTTTAGAGACCCTCCCGAGGTTACGCCTTGGCTTCAGAGCGGCCCCCTAGCGCTTCCCTCTGCCCCATCCTAGCTGGAGAAGGCCGGGCTCGGGGGCGGGGCGGGGCCGGGGCCGGGGGCGGGGCCCCACCGACGCGCGCGGCCCGTCGCCTTGACGACCGCAACAAGATGGCGACGCTGGAGGGCGGGCTGCTGGGGTCCGACCCCGGGGCGCTGAGCCGCGAGCAACTGGAGCAGCTGCGCAACTTCAAGGTGGATGTGCCCCCGTCCCCGCCTGCACCGAAGTTCTGGTCCCTCAGGATAAGGGTCCAGGCAGGGACGAGGGCCCCGAGAGACGCGAGCCTGTTCCAGATAAAGGGTGCTGGGGGGCTCTGAGGAGACCCCCGGCGGACCCCTGAACAGAGCCCCAACAGGCGCCTCAAAGTGCAGGAAGAACTAAGACAGGGTTCTGGATAGAGAAATGGGCCGAAGTGACTGCCAGATACGTTAACTTAGTTACAAACCAGAACCTCCCGACGGTGGAAACCCGAGCTTTGTTAAGGCCGCTTAGCCTGGGCAGTGGGCAGCGTGGAGATGTTGATCCCTGAGAAGACGCGGGCTCACATTGTCAAACATCCTGGGGGAAAGACCCGGTGCGTGCTCGCGGTGTTTCCCCAGCGCTTCGCAGCTGCGGGGCTTGAACCCTGAAATCTGCCTCCTTACGGAGCCTGACCCTTTGCTCTTGCCCTCAGATTCAGACTCGGATTGCCAACGAAAAGTACCTAAGGACCCACAAAGAAGTGGATTTGCTCATAAGTGGTTTCTTCAGGTAGGTGGTATTCCGGACTGGCGTTGAGCAGCTAGTGGAACAGGTGACCAAATCTTGGGGACAGATGAGTGCCAGTGACTCCTTCTTTCAACACTCCCTACAGCTTCCTGTAGGGTCTGAAAGTTAGAAAACATCACAAGGTTGAATTTTTTCTCACTCTTAGATTTGTGGCACCGAGGGCTTTCTTGAGTTATCTCTAACTTCTCATAAAATACTAAGATTCATTCACTGTAGCTGTAAGGATATCTATATTCCTTACGACACTTGGAAGAAAGAATTGGGCCGTGAGAAACTCAACAGGCAGCCTTTGGGTATAGAACTTTATTCTCCATCAGAGATGATTAACAAGATCACTAGAAGTTTAAAAAAATTCAGCTGTCTGGCCCTTCCCTACCTGAGAACATCCTAGAAAGACTCCAAGAGTTGGGAGCCACTTCCCCAAGTGGTCTTGGGGAAAAGACCACTTTCCTGAACATGTCCTCCCCACCCCTCCTGCCCACCCACTGCAGTACCTTTCAGTAGGGCATTTGTTTGAACAGGAAAACCTCCTGATGGGATGAAGAGCAAAGAATGGAGGGGAGATAAAATCTTGGAGCAGCAGTGGCTGAAAATAATAGAGCTGTCTCAAATGCTCTTCACCTGTAGACAACAGGCAAGGTTTTAAAAACAATGGCTTCCATTTGCAGGCCCTGCCTTGGTTTCCTGCCTTAGCAGTTATCACACTATATTGTAATTGCATTGTCAATCTTCCGTTTCTCTTCCTGGACCCAAGCTCCAAGCTGGTGGAGCCATGTTTGTGTCCCCAGCGCCCCCATAGTGATGGCATTTTGGTACCCTTTGGCCGATCCTCCCAGCGACTCCACAAAAGAGAGCTTATTATCACTTCCATTTTACAGAGGAAGAAAAGCTAAGCTCTGAGAGGTAACGTACGGTTCCCCAAGTTGCTGAATCGGGACCCAAACCCCTGGTTTTTCTTCCATGTTGTGTTGTAAGCACATAGGAGCTCGGGAGCCAGGGCTGGGGGTTTCCCATCTCTTCTGAAAAGCAGACCGGAGAGGTGTCTTTTCCCCCAGGCCCCTTCGTTTTTCCTGGACTTCACTATTCTTGATATTTTAGCCATTTCTCCAAGTGACAGCAGGTTGTCAGAGGGCAGGCGAGGAAAGAGAAAGTGAAAACTCTAATCTGTCTGTGAAGGTTGATTTTATTTGGGCCAGGGTTAAGGCTCAGGCAAAAGATAGCTTAGGGGGTCCTCTGTCAAAGTCAGCCTGGGGATCGGGCTGTCACTTTTGGTACCTTTTCTTCTAAAGGGAAGTAAAGGATGACATGCTATCCTGGGATGCTTGCAATCAGCCGAGTTAGGAATGATTCCAGCTGGGAGCTTGGAGATAGATGTTAAAAGCCTGAATTAAATCACAAAAGGATTAGAATCCTTGGGGGTGGTGAATGAAGAGGGCCTTGTTGTAGTGGTCACATGTCAGGGGTGGCCCTGCTGCTTCTCTTCCAGGAACAGTTTCCAGGAGCTGGACGCCTGTGTCTGGCTGCCTCAGGGACAGCCCCAGGCATCCTTCCTGTCCTTTATCACCCCACCTCTCCAGGCCTGTAGGTAGGCCAGCAGGCTTGTTTTCTTTTGCTACCCCTGAAACTCCCCTACATGAAATCCTCCTGGCCCCTCTTAGACCTTTCTCTTTCCGGGATGGAGGTGGGAGGGGGAAGTGTTTGAAGTTTGAGGGTTTGCTTTGTTTGTTTGGTGTTCTTGTTATTTCCTTTGGGTAGCATCAGGATGAAGTCTGTACTCGATGCTTCAGGTGGTCCTTCCAGTGATAAAGAAAACGGGACAGGATGCTGGGCAGCATGCCTGCTCACCTGTCGCGTAGGTCTGTGCTCTATACTCACTCCAAAGCATGATAAGCTCCGAGCTGTTTTTGTTGGGAAGCAAGCTCCCCACTTGGGTTTTCCAATCCTAGAGATTTATGGCCATTCAGCCACAGCTGTCCAGTCTATACTCATATATGCAGTGTATGGAACTCTTAATGGGAAGAGTTTGGGACCTGAAAAACGGAAAACGTAGGGATCTAACTAACTTTAGGCACCCAGAGAGCTCCGGGTTTTCGACTGGAGATAGGATAGCAAAGGATGAGAGTTTAGGAAGGCTTTATGAAATGTTTTTGTAAACACCCAGGCTGGTGAATGTTCCCCAGTACAGCCCTGATCCTGTCATTCCTTGGCTGGAAAAACCTTCAGTGTATCCGCCCTATTGCTTGCTTTCTTTGTCGTCTTCTTTTTAAAAACATTCTACTGAAGTATAAAGCACAGAAAAGTGGCATATTCTCAACTGGATGGACTTCCACAAGCTGAGAACACACATGGCATCCAGGTCAAGAACGAGAACCTGACTAGCCCTCAGACCCTTTGTGGCCCCTTCCCGTCACTTCCCCCCAAAAGGCAGCCAGTACCCTGACTTCCAATAGCACAGACTAATTTTGCCCTTTTGTGCTTCACAGAAATGGAATTCTGCCATCTGTAGTCTATCAAGCCTTGTATTGGGTTGTTGGAAAAGTCATGACACATTTTTGCAATGAAAAACAGAAAAAATACGTCATGACTTTTCCGACAACCCAACAGGCCCCCATTGTCGTGGCTCTGTAGTGCTGTAGCATGTGGCTACGCCAGGCTTTACGTACGCATTCCCACCGGCTTTTCACTGAGTAGAAAAGTCTCTCCCTGGCCTTCATGACCCCCCATAACAGAGCCTCCTCCCCTTCCCACGACTCCCTGCTCGTGCCCCCCACTCCGGCCGACTGAACCTCCCCGATCATCCCACAGACCATGTGGAGGGCACTGACCCCCCTCAAGTGCCATTCTGGACCCTGGGAGGACAAAGGTGAGTACGACCCAGTTCAGAGGGTTCACCATCTGTAAAATATGGGCTGTTTCATTTCCGGGTCTTCACACTTGCTGCTTCCAGGGGTCTGGAATGCCCTTGTCCTGCACTGAAATCCCTCTCAAGGGTCCTCTCGAGTGCCAGCTGCTCTCTGCAGATTTTTGGGGTCCGGCTCTCAGCAACCTCTCTCTTCTCTGACCTCGCAGCGCACTAATACCCCTCTTGTCACTCTGCCTGGAGGTGGCCTTTTGGACATTTGGGAATTGGCCCCTTCCCTTTTACTTGAGTGTAATTTCTTTCAGGTGGGGCTACATTTTGTCTTAAAAAATCAATGCCTCATATCTAGTACAGTTACACAGAATTTGTGCTCACTAATTCTCAGATTGGATTGGAGGAGAGGAAGCTTGCGAGTCGGGCTCCGGGGGCCTTTGGGCTGGTGGGGCCGGGCGGCCGTGGCCAAGGGGTGTGAGTGGAGAGCCGTGGCGCTGGAATCCCAAGACCTGGACCCATCTCCTTTATTGACTCGCTATGTGAACGTGGGCAAATGATTAACCTTTTGAAGGCCGGGCTTCTTCAGATGTAAAATGGAGATGCAGTCACTGCTGTTTTCACGGGGTTGTTGTAAAGTGAGATAATGTTTTTTGTGTATGTGCTTCGCGAACCACAAAACTCTATGTGAGGTGAGGCGGTTTCAACTCCCTAGTGGCACCGGGACTGTGGGTGCTATCAGCGTCTGGCTGCTGGACTGGAGGGCCACCACCCCTCTTATGGCCACCTTCTCAGCTTTGTTTTATCCTACAACATCCCCACCCCCCCGCAACCCCTGCTGTGGGAATTCCTGGTTAGACTCAGAAGACTGTGTGGGGTTGTGTATCTGCCCCACTGCGATGAGGCTCTCCCCTCTCCCCCAAACGAGATTGAGGACAAGGATGAGGCAGCAAGCTCATCTTTGCTGCCTGCCCCGGGCTTGGTTTCTGCTTCTGTGAAAGTGTTTGTTGAACGAATGACAAGCTTCCTGTGGCCGCAGCACAATTGCCCTGAAAGGCAGGGACCCGCTGCCACTGCCACCGCCCAACCTGCCATGAAGCCTGCTTCCTCTCCCGCCCTCATCCCTTACTGTTTTCCAGAGAGATGTTTTTGAAAAGGCCAGACAACATCCGAGAATTTGCTGCAGGTGAGTGGGGCAGCATCCATTTGGGGTGTTTGATAAAGCAGCACAGGGAGTATTGTGTGAATTTGGACTCGTCAAGGCCAGGATTCTTCCCGCTGAGTCTGGGGTCCTTCTTCACCTGATGGCCCCCAGGGAGCTGTCTTCAGAGGCTCTTTCCTCCATTGTCACTTCCTCCAAATGAGGACAGAGAAGAAATGAGGCAGAATTTCCTCAATGGTGAGGGTTAAGAATTTTGAGATTCCCAAAGGAACACAGTGGCAGGAATTGCAAAGCGGGGTCCTCAACCCCGGTGCTCACTAGAGTCACCTGGGGAGCTTTTAAGAGTACCGAGGCCCAGGCCCATGGGTGGTGAGGTGGGGGGCGTATTTAATTAGTCTGGGGTGGGTCCCAGCCTGCACAGTTTTAAAGGCTCCCCAGGTGACTCTAATGGGCTCAGCTGCCTGGAGATTGCTCAAGGTCAATGGTATTTAGAGGGAAGGGGCTGGGCTGGCTGATTTCTCAGGTCCTGTTAGCCCTGGGAGTTGGTTCCGTCCTCACATCATTTTTGAGTCCAAGTGCGTTTTGCTGCTACAGCAGATGCTGCTTCTGACTCACATTATGCCGGGTGTATAAAAACCTCTTCTGTCGTCATCCTGCGAGAGCTTGGCCCTCCTCTGAGAGGATATTCTCAGAGAGGGCGTGATTCTCAGAGAGAAGCTGGCAAGCCGAGTTGAGACAAGAATAACACTTGGCATTTATTTGGGCCCCAAGATGGGCCGGGAGCAGAGAACCCAGAAGCTCCCTCAGCCCTCTGATGGCTCCTGTGCGTCAGCAAGGGACCGGCAGTGTGGCGGGGAGGGGAGCCTTTCCTGGGAACACAGGAGCTGGCAGGCTCAGAACTGCCGGTGCAGGGACAGTGACCACAGGGTTTGCTGTGACATCTCATATTACGCTGGAAAGCGTAAAGCAAAGCGGGGCCACCAGCTAACAGTTCAGTAAGACTCAGCCCTCCCAAGTTTTCAGCACAATAAGCTGTCTGCCTCCCAGTTTTTTTCCCTTGGGTTTAGATGATTTCTTGTTTTTGATTCTTATCCCAGACTATTTCACGGATCCAAGACTTCCCAACAAGATTCACAGGCAGCTAATTAAGGAGAAGAAAGAGGCTTAATTAGCAAAATCATGACACCCAGCTGTTGAGAGAGACCAGTAAGGATCCAGCCCGGGGGTGGGTGCTAACCTCACTTGCAGACACAGGCTCCTTTACTCTGGTGAGAGTAAGCGTTGGCCCGGGGTGTGAAGGAAAACACAAGGAGAAGCTGAAGAGAAGCTTCGTGCAAGTGTTCAGATTTCTTGACACTATTTTGGGGAATTCGGGACTGTGAAGAGAGGCCCAGGGCCTGTCTAGCACGCCCGTGGCAGGAAGAGACAGCTGTCTTTTTAATCTGGTAAAGTGGATGAGGAGAATGTAGGTGGGGGTAGTTTGGGGGTGGGGAGTGGCAGGTAAATGGGGGTGGGACCCACTGGGGTCCAGGCCTTGCTCTCAGGCTGCAGAATTCCAAAGCGCCCCTGCAGGCGCCTTTTCCATATGTCCCTGGTAATGGGGGAGGGCTTTCCCCTTGCTTCTTGGACCGGACGCTTTCCTGCTCCCCTCCAACCAGGCGAGGCCATCGGGGCCGCCACACATGTCACAGGCAGGATGGTTTCTGAAATAATTTTGAAGGTCGGGATTTTTTTTTTTTATAATGTGAGGTGGGAAAAGGCCACACTTCTGATATAGTGGAACCATTTCTGCTGCAGGATCCTCTGGAATGAAGAGTATCCTGTTGTCATCAGTGTGGTTTTTGAAGCTGCCGTGGGCTGCGTCTGCTTCTGCAAGGGCTTTTAAAGATACTCATTAAAAACAGACCTCTCTGCTTTCTCTGCCTTATTTCATTCAGACGGAGGAGGAAGGCGTCCTTCGTAGGAGGGTCACTCTGCCCTGTCCTTTGAGTTGGTGGGCAGGGCGGCAGGCCTGTTTCTCGTGGTGGCTGCCATGGGCCTGTCCACGAGGTCAGTTGGTGGTTTCCCATGTGCCTCGATAGCGTGTACTCTCCACCCCTCCGGAGAGGCCACCCACTCCCAGAGCCAAGACGGGACGAAAGAACAGGGTGGGGATGTGGTGGTCCTGGAGCGAGAACCACCTTCAGCCGTTGGCTTTTGTTCTCTCCTTATCTGACCTCTGGGGTTACTGTTCAGAGTGTGCCAGTGGTGGTGATGAACTTTGATTTCCATGGAAGCCATAATGAGAGGAAGTGGGCTGGAAGGACAGCAGGAGAGTAAGCTAGACAGAGAAGAGCCATTCAGGGTCATGAATACCGCGAACCTAGACTTTGTTATCAGATTTGCAGGAACCCGCTGCCCGTCCCTTTGGTTTTCAGCTAAGAGGCAGGGGAACGGACTGGGTGGCCTCAGGAGGTCCTTTCCAGGCCAGGAGGCGTGGATGCTATCTGCTTATGTCTTGTCTCTCTGGCCTCCACCACCCACTGGCTCCACTGTATGAAGGACCTCTCACCTGGGTGTCACTTGTCAACATCACCATGGCAACAGAAGCACAGCCCAAAGCAGGGACTGTATTCCCCGGGTCTGCGCCTGCCTTTTTCTCAGCTGCCATCACCTGCAGTAGTGGAAAGGGCACCAAAGCAGGGCGTTCGGAGAACTATTAAAGCTACACAGAATAAGCTATGGAACAGGGGCCTGAGGAGCTATTTTCAGTGCTTTCAGGATCACTCGCCAGCAGCTGTGGCTCTGACAATGCGGTATCCCTGTTTAGACAATCCTCATGAAGCCTTCAGCAAAAAACACCTCTACTGAGGATCTCGGATGTGAAGTGTTATATTAGACATTCTTGGAACCTTTCCTGGAGAAGCGACCTGCAGCAGCGTGGGAGAGTGCAAAGTGTTTTTCGAAATGCTTGAGTGCGTGATCTGACACTGTGAGAGCACATGGCTCATGCTTGGGGGTGGGGGGCTGGCAGACAAGAAATACATTTCATTTAAAATATATTTCAAAGCCTTCCTGAGTAAGGAATACGTTTACCATGGTCACGGTGCCGCTACTTCGTGTGATGTAGTGTGCTAAGTTTATGGTCTAGGAGATGGGCTGCTTTTCTCCCCAAACCTGAACCAAATCTAAAAATCGAACTTGTTCACAATTGAATCCCGACTCCTAGCACAGTGTCTGGCATACAGCAAGTGTTTGGTGAGCGTCTGTGGAGAGAATGAATGCCTGCGTGATTCAGTGAGCACTCCTGTTGTATCCGTTGCTATAAAGACAATGACAATGGAGGTAGGTACATGATACAGGAGAAGGTACAAGGAGGAACACCAAGACTGCCTGAGGGAGTGAGGGAGGCCTCATGGAAACTGGCATGTGATGGGTAAGAAAGGATTTGCCCGGCAGGGGTGGGGCGAGGCGTGGGGCAGTCGGGGCTCTGTTGGCGTTTCCATTCTGCCGAGCGGAACGGTGGGGCAGACCCTTACAACCCCTTTCTTCCTTGCTAACAGAACGCCAGTTTTGCTGGCAGCAGCAGTGGGCTCAGCCCCAAGTACTGGACCATATTAACCTACGCCAACCACGACAATCCCATTTCCTGCCTTCCCAGCCTTGCTTCCAGCTAGGGGCAGCCATGGGGCCATGAACTGCAGGTAAAAGTGTGCTGGGGAGTTCTAAGAAAGCTTTTTCTTCCATAACCAAAAAAAAAAAAAAAGGAGTGGGGGGGGGTTTGTGAAGATTAAACTGGTGTACCCTCCCCTTTCTCCATTTTGAACTTGGATGTGATGTCTAGAGCCTGGCAGCCATCTTAGGGCCATGAGGCAACAAGCAGGAGGGTGAGAGCCAGGGCTCTGAAGAGAGGAAAGATCAGAAGACTTGGAGGCCCTGACAGCATCTTTGAGCACTTGAACAGCCCAGCAATCACTTGCTTTCAGAAAGACTTCTTGGCAAGTGAGGAAAACGAAATCTCTAATTTGTTTTGAAATCCGACCAGAGTTTAGATCCCGACCCACTGCTTATTAGATGTGTGGTCTTGGCCAAGCCACTTAACTTCCTTGAACATTACACTTATCTATAAACTAAGATGTATAACACCCACCTCTCAGGGCTATTGGATCAGTGATGAAGGACAGTGCCTGGCATGTGGGAGATATTCGCGAGGGGTTTGTCTTGTTGGAGATGCATAAAGTGCAAGGGTGGGAGTAGTGGGAGAAGATGGTGGATGAGAAGGTGGGGACAAGTCCCAGAGGGCACTGTGTTTTAGGCACAGGAGGTTAGTTTCTTATCATGCAGGCAATGGAGAGCCAGCAAAGAATTTTAAGCCCAGAAGAGCCGATGAAGAGATCTGTATTTAGAAAGTGTCATAGTGTGGAGGACAAACTAGAGGAAACTAAGGCCAGAATGGAAAGGCCTGTAGGGAGTCGATCTCCATAGTCCGAGCCACCATCGTCTCTCAGCTGCACCACCTCACCCACATCTTAGCCAGCTTCCTTGCTAACTCTCCTGTGTGAGCTGAGAACGTATTTAGCTGCATGTAATGACAGAACACCCGATTTACAGTGGCTTGTGCGAGTAGGGGGCTATTTTTCTCGCCTAAGAAGTCTGGCAGTAAGCAAGATTCAAAGGTTTAATGATGTCGACAGGTACCCCGCCCAGGCTTCCATCTGTTCCCTGCCATCCTTAGCCCGTGGGCTCACAGTTGCGAGAGGGCCCCAGCACTCCCAGGGTCGTTTCTGTATTCCAGGTGGGGCGAAGGAAGGAGGGCCAACCAGCTGAGTCTGCGAGCACGTCCCTTTTTTATCAGGAAAGCAAAGTTTTCCAGCAAGTCCTCCCCACCTAGCCTCACAGGGTCCCGTGATCATCTCAAGGGCAACAGAGACTGGGGAAGGGAACTTTTAACCCCTGTAGCTTCTAGAACAGAAGGTGGCCCGGGGAAAGGAGAGGGAACAGCTAAGTCAGCCCCAAAGCAGTGTCTGCCCCGCTGCACTCCTGACTCATTCTTCATGTCAGAGCTAGAATGATCATCCAAGAAACCTAAGTCAGAGTATGTCAGTCACTCTGCTGCCTGAAACCCTCCGGCGATTTTCCATGCACTTAAAGTGAAACGCAGATGGCCTTCCATGAGCTACACGCAGCCGCCGTAATGTGCTGCCGCCGTACTGTGCTTCCGCTGCACCGTCTTTCCTCTCTTCCTCAAATGCGCCTATGTAGTTCCCGCGTGAGGGCCTTTGCACTCTGCCTGCATCTGTCTTCCCCAGATCCTATGGGGCTGGTGGTCTGAGATGGGAGGCTATACACTGAAGGGAAGAGAAAACTCTGCCAAGCAAACAGGCGTTGCTTTCTTCACATAGCAAGTCTGGAGGTGGCGGCTGCTGGTGTTGGTTCTGCGCCTGCCTCTGCAGGTTCCTCTCGTTCCCTCATGGTCAAAGGTGGAGCAGGACCAGGAAGGGACTCTATCCATGACACGGGTTTCTTTTCCAGAAAGCAAAAGCTTATCCGGCCCCGTACACCCTCCGCCAACTTTCACTAACATCTCATTGGCCAGAGCTGTGTACGTGACCCCCTCTTTGAGGGAGGCTGGGATATTGAGTGTTTATCCAGCCAGCAGTGTCCCCAGTAGCTTCTTGTCACTTTCTCAGCGTCTTCCTAGGGATCCGGCTGAAGTTGCCTGTCCTGACACTTAAAAAATATGTATTTAAACTCCCCCACCATTCTGTCATGCCGCTGTTTTGTTTTCTTCACAGTACCTATCACTGTCCGATATTGTCTTGTTGGCTTATTGTCTCGTGATTGTCTGTGTCCCCAAGAATGTGAGCTCCTGCCAGAGCAGGCCTTGTCAGTCTGGTTTGTCACTCCACGGCCAGCGTGCAGTAAGGACTCCGTAGCAGCGTCTGGAAAGCCAGGCGTGCCTTCTAGCTGGACGGGCCTCTGCTGCCCTCTGCTGGGCATGGCCGGCCGCGCAGCCCGAGGCGCCGCTGGGAGGAGGCCTGTGCCAGGCAGGCCTGCGTGAAAAAGGGATAGCCGGACGGAGAGAAATACACATGTGCACGTTCCTGTCATAGCTTCAAGTTTCCTCACAAGTCATCAGGTCCAGGACCTCATCTCTGGCAGGGCTGCTTCATAAGCTCCATAGCTGTTTTCTTCTTTAAAATGTCAGAAGAAAGAAACCTTGCAAGGTTGATTATTCATTTGTTTATTCACCCACTTATAATTCATGCATTTATTCAGGAAATATTAGGGTATATCATGTACTCAGGATGCAAGGTTTTGGGAATAAGACACACTCTTTCCTGAAGGAGTGAAGAGGAATATATAGATCATTATAATACAGTTTCAAAAGTTAAATGATAAGGGAAACACCCAAGACCTCATGGGAGCACAGAGGAGGGGCACCTGACTGGCACTGTGCTGCGGGGTGGGGAAGCCACAGGAGGTGTCCTGAAGATGCTTCGTGACGTGGAGCTAACAGGTGAGTCGGAATTGTAGGCACCAAGTTACTGTCTAATGCCACATCTCGCCGTTGCTAAGTCTAAAGGGCAATTCTTGTCTTCCCCGGAAATTCTTCCGGAACCCTTCCCTCACTTTTCCTCTGTGGTTAACAGTCCCTTAGGGCCTCGGCTCTCCTATCTGTGAAAAGAGGGGGTGCTCCTAGATGATACCTTTGAGCATGGTTGACATGACTGGACTCAAAGTATGCTAACATTCAGGCTGTAAAAGCATCTCCCTGGGAGCAGGTTGGCATGCGCACACGGATATGCAAAGCCTGGTTTTCAGCATCTCCGGGGAAAAAACCAGCTTGAATCCAAAGAAACCAAATATGCTTTCATACAAAAGCCTCTCACTAAGTACTTGTGGAAAAGAACAACTCTGTCGGCTTTCTTAAACCATTCCTGTTGTTCCCTGGGGTTGCTGAGTTTATCAGTAAAGGCGGGTACATGTCCCTAGCGGAGTTGCTGTAAGGGAGGCCATGTCTGGCCCATAGCAGGCCTTCATAGAGAGCAGCTATCATTTCAGTGAAGTAGCAGAACTCAGTCATTAGGAAGACCTATTGACTTTACCCATATTTTTTGCTAACCATGTTTTTTATTTCTTCCTGATGTTCCAAGATTTCTTTGTTTATTGTTTCCTTTCTGTTTAGAGAACTTCCTTTAGCCGTTCTTTAAGGGTAGGTCTACTGGTGACAAACTCTTAGTTTCCCTTTGTCTGGGAGTGTCTTAATTTCACCATCATTCCTGAAGGATATATCTGGGTATAGAATTCTGGGTTGGCAATTCTTTTCTTCCAGCACTTGAAAAAGTATACCACTTCCTTCTTGCCTCCATGGTTTCTGATGAGAAATCTGCTATCATTTGAATTTTTTTCTTCCCTTTATAGGTGTCATTTTTCTCTGGCTGCTTTCAAGATTTTTTTGTCTTTAGATTTCAGAAGTTTAATTATGATGTATCTTGGCGTGGATTTCTTTGGGTTTATCTTGTTTGGGGTTTGCTTAGTTTCTTTCTTTTTCTAATGTGGGAGGGAAAGAAGTGAAAGTCAGACACATTGTCGTTAGCACCTGAACCACATCTCCCCCCAAACAGAAACCCCAAGAGCAGAAAGAAATGAGTGAAGTGAGAGAGGGGCTGTGCTTCCATCACATTAAATAGGAGACTTGGCAGAGGTGGGGGAGGGTTGTTTCACATCAGGATGTCAATCACTGGCCGACGGGAGGGGTTATGAGCAGCAGAGCTCTATGAAGGGAGTTCTCCCTCCCTCATTTATCCTGCTTCTCTTTTGGCTTTTTGGGGTTCCGGGACTGACTCTTGGCTTTGCACAGAGGGGGTCTAGGTGCATTCCGGTGAATCTGCTGATGACATGACAAGCAGGCCTTTACAGGTAGGGGCTGCTGCCTGAAGGTGGCTATCTGCCAAGTGTCCTGCTTCCTAGCCACTTAAAGTTGCTGGGCAGCTGCGGCTGCAGCGGCTGCCGCGGCCAGGGTCTCAGTGATGGGAGGCTCCGTCTGCCACTCTGCTTCTCAGAGGAACCCAAGGAGAGCTTTTCCTCCTCTTCACATAGGTCAGGGAGCCTCTGCAGACTCAGTCACCTGCAGGGCATCCACGTGTTTCTTTAGTGGCTTATACTCATCATGTAGCTGCCGGGTAGACTCTAGCAGCTTGTTTAGGTCATTCTCAGAAATTTGATGGTATTTTCCAACTGGAACAGAGAGAGGTAGGCACAGAGAAGAGACTCCAAGTCTCAATGAGGCTGTACAGGTGAGTGGATAATAGCACAGGCTCCAGAGCCAGACTAATACATGGTCAAGTCCTCAATCTGCTATGTATTCTATGTGACTTTTCTCAAGTCTCAGTTTCTTCATCTGTATAATGGTGATAATAATAGTGCCTACCTCATATAATCTTGGTGAAGATTCAGTGATGGAATTTATATAAAGCTCTCAGTACAGGGACTAACACAGAGTAAAGAATAAATGGTAGCTATTATTTGAATATAGCATCTTAGAGCTCTAATGGGTTTCCAGCTCATTTAGTATAACACCACCCTTTTACAAACCAGGGAACTGAGGATCAGAGAGAAGAAACTTCCTCAGAGAAATACTTCTTGGGGGCAAAGCCTAGATAAAAACTCAGGGCTTCTGCCTCCCAGTGGCCTTTCTCCTAGATCAATGATTCTCAAAATGCTGCTTCGTTTCTTGAATCAGTATGTTTACACCTCTTAACAAATGTGGGAAGTCTTCTGCCATTATTCCTTTGTGTACTTTTTTAGCCCTGCCTTCTTCCTCCTCTTTCTGGGACTCGAGGACACAGTATGTACCCTGGATCAAGTCATCCTATCGTGCTATGTCCCTAAGTAAAATATATGGGTCTGGGAAACAAGGGGTAGATGTAGGAGCAGCCCCCCATTACCATCACTCCCAAGGACCCCAGTGAGGACCCCTCTTATCCCAACTCTGGGCTCTGAGGATTTAGTCCTGTTTGCCAGAAGGGGAATAATTCCACCATCAGTGGACACACCGAAAGTCATGAAACTTTAAGCTATGGCTGCCACCAGATTACTTAAGATCACTACCAAGAGACAAGGAGGTGAGGAAAGGAGTCACCATTCCTGGCAGGATAGCTGACCCTGACCATCAGGAGGCAGAGCTGCTGTTATACAATGTGGAAAGAATATACTTGGCACCGAGGTCATCCACTTACAGCTATTGTTCCTTACTTGCTCAATTTTGATGATAAATGGACAAATGGTCATGGCCTGAGAAAGGCATGATGTACCTTATCAGGTAACCCATTTGGACCAGTAGAAGTACAAACTGAGGGCATATGGGGAGGAACGCAGAGTGAGTGGCAGAGGAGGGAGGTAAGTACCAGTGGCAGACTTCCGACAAGCTACAGCAGCAGGGGCTATGGTCAGTCACAGACCTTCCTCTTAAGTTTTCCCAGGAAAAGAGGCCATCAGAATCCTGAAGGGATCATTCTAAAACTTATGAAGCAAACGGATCTGAACAGCACAAGAGGTGGACTGTAGTGGAGACTGTGGTGTGCTGCCTGGAACCCTCTCCTCGGGACCGAAGCTGCTGAGAATGCTGACAGCCCTCGTCTCAGTTCCCAGAGGGGAAGTGCCTTTGCCTGAAGTCAGTCACCTCATCCAAGGTCACGCTCCCTTTCTAGTCGATGTGGGGGTATGGCCAGTTGCCCGAATAGGGTACATCTCTCTGCAGAGCCATCCTAGGTTGAGCTTGTGGGAATGACAGAGGTCTTTACTGAGGCCACAGCAGCTCAACTTCCTCCACCACGTCCTGCTTGCTTCACTCCCACACAGGTGCCGAGCCAGAGGACGCCCCCAGTAAACTTACTGTGCACTGTGGGGAATGTGGTGTGTTTCTCAAACAATTTCTGAGAGCTCGGTGACGGTGGTGGTGTGGAATGATGCTGTGCGAAATGGGCTTCTTTCTATTTCAAGGTCATCAAGATGGGGTCATTGAAATGGCAAATTTCAAACAATAGCAGTGCTGGACTGGAGTTCTGGCAAGTGGGAGGTTGGGTACAGTGATCAGTGCAACTATGGGTGACAGATCTCCCATTAGCTGGGTTGGCCTCATGTGGATGAAACTGAACAGAAGTGCTTACTTGGCTTGGAGTGGTAGGTGAGCTCACATAGGAAGACAGAAGCCAAGCTCTCTGGGCTTCTGGTAAGAATAGCAAGTCAATGGGCCCATCGGTACTCTTCCTGAATTGCATGATCTCTCATTATGTTTGAGTGACTGGCATAATCCAATTGTCAACAGTTGGGTGTTTTTCCCACTAACGGGCCTTGACCTTATGCAGAACTATCTATTTCCTGCATCTCTTATCAAGACCCCTATTCCATAATTATCTAACGACTAGCCTATCTTAACTTTGGTCTGCAAACCAAGGTATCTTCTTTTTCAACATCGCAGGAGCTAGCTCAGTCAACAAAACAGAAGTTCCCTTTTTAAGCTTCTTTCATCTCAGCTTCCTTTCCCCCCAAAATTACCCTTCAGCCTTAATTCAGATCACCTTAGAAAAGTAGAATCCATTGTGCTTATTCATATTGATGACTTTTATCAATATATCTAACAAAAATTAGTTTTAAAACCAAAGACATAACAGCTTATTGAGTAATTTGTCCATAGCAACCGTGGGATGTAGCCTGCAAATGTAGTTTCTTCTTTCCCTTTTAGCAGCAAACCCCAGTGGCTCAAGAGGACATCCCACTTGCATCTCCCGTTCCCAGTCTACTCAAGCCCAGTAAACAATACCTGAAAAAGAACATAATTTCTTTTATTTCTTCTTGAGGTACAAATGTCCAGTTAGGACGAGAATGAGCCAAGTGCTGGAGACAATGGCTAGCTCTTCCATTTGTTCCAATGAATTCCAATGGAGGAAGAGGAAATAGGGTCTATACTGTTTCAGTCTATTAATATTCGGCCTATCAAACTACAGCCTGGTACTCCTTGAGCAGGACTGCCCCAACCAGGCGGGATGTGATAACAGTTGAAGTACGGAGATGGCAAATATGGAGACTTCAACATGAATCTGCAGTGTAGTCCCATGCTGCCATACGCTCTCTACAATTCCCTATTTGGTCAGAGCTGGCTCATCTTTGCTCCACGGAATCCATCTTTGTTCTTCGGATTCTGCTTTGCTGCTTTTGAGAGACAGTAGGTTCAGAGTGCCTGGGAGCTGGTGGGGGCCATCCCCTTGGCAGCTTGCTGGGCTAACCAGTACTTGTATCTTTTGGTCTTGGGCTTCTCAAATTTCACCACAGACATAGGTACCCTCACAGTGTCAAGTCCATTTACCTGTACACAAAACAACAGGACTCTTCAGAGATGAGTTGTACACATAAGAGCTAACTAACTCGACCCCAATCCCAGCTTTTCACCCTCGTTTTTCACCTCGTCAGAAAAAGGAGACAGATGTGAAACACTCACCGTCACCTCACACCAGTACTCGCCCCACCGTGTGATGGGCTCTTCTGGTAACTTTAATGCATGTGGGGCGGCCACGACACCAAGCTGCAAAAGATCACAGCCAAAAGGAGCTCTGTTTACATGGCTGCCACTCTAGGCAGCCTCATCAAGACCGTTGAAGAATTTCCTGTACAGAGGTGAATAAAACTGGGGAGTTTACCCTGGCTGATCCCATGGCAGGGCACAGACCGCCACAGATGATGGCAGAGAGACTCAGTCCTAATTTCTCAGAAAGGGAAGTGGATTCACAAAGAGAAACAGAGGACTTGAGACCAAAATTACTGTATTCATTACTATATACAATAATTCTCCAATGAGTCATATCTCCCCTGGTTTTCCCTAGCTAGAGAGGAAATAAATGATACCGTCATCTTTTCCTATCGGCCTTCAACTCCTGTGACCGCCATTTGTCCTTAAGTCATTCCATCCCACACCCATGCAAGCCAACCAAGAACACGTCCCCTAATGCCAGCTGAACGAGTCCACCTGTCCCTCACAAAGGGGTCCATCCTGGGCCTTCTTCCCAGGGGCAGCTTCCACCCTCCAGGGGATGGCAGGGTAACTCACATTTTTAAAGAAGTGGCGGGCAACTATTTCAGGGGTGAGTTCCCATTTGACATTGTTCTTCATCCCCACCTCCAGGTGACAGCTTCTCAGAAATTTCACTGTCTGGGAGGAATTATAGACAGGGGATACGTTAGAGCCAGAATCCAAGGAGAGGAAACATGTTAGCAAGAGGCACAGGTTTGAGAGCTCAGGAAAAGGGCACAACTTCTGCTACGGCCAAGACAAGTGAGAAGACGAATGGCAAAGACAGAACGTTCTTACTGTCTCAAGGCTGATACTGAGACAGGAAAGATGTTTTAGTGTCACTTTAGAGGAGAATGTCACCTATACCTGGTTGTTCCTAATTAAGGAGAAACAGGCCGTGTCAAAGTTAGCTTCATCAGTGGGGGCAGCTGGTATATTTCAGGATGGAATGACTTTCATGAACTATTTATTTAAGCTAAGCCATCCTGCCACCTGTTGGCAGCTCAGCTCAGGGTGGGAATGGAACCGGTGACCCAGTTGCTCAGAGCTCGCACTCTTGAGCGAGCTCTTAACCAACTGAGCCACTCGGCCAGCCCTTCATGAACTATTTTAACCCAATACTCTGGCCCTTTAATCCCACCCCATTAATGATTCCTCCCTGCTTACTGAATGACATATAAATTCATTAGCCGAGGATTCAAGATGTTTTGTAAATCCTGCCCCAAGCCCCTTTCCAGCCATGTATTTCCTAATATTACACTATAAAATCCTTTGTTTTAGGTAGACTGGTCTACTTTCTAAGTTAAAACATGCTTTAACTACCTCGTTATACTCGTTCTCTCTTAAGAAGACCTTTCCCACCCTCCTGATCTATCCAAATCCTACTAATCCCATAAGGCCTAATCCAATCTGAAACAAGTCCTCCCCAATCACCCTAATCCATTTTAGTCCATGTCACTCTTCTAATTTACTGCCTTGAGTTTACTGATCACTTTCTCATGTAGTGACTGTATTTCCCCATGTATAAGACACACCCTTTTTGGGAAAATTTAGGGTCTAAAAACTGGGTGTGTCTTATACAGTGGTTGTAGATTTTTTTACTTGCATTTCCCGCTGAGGACAAGGCAATATATGAAGACAGTCACTGGTCATCAGACACAGATGATGGTTGGGAGTTCTGACAGTGATGAGGAGTTGTATGAATTTTATGATGAATAAAACTTGAGTTCAATAACTATGTAATACATTTTTTTCACATTTCAGGCCCCCAAATTAAGGTGCTTCTTATACACGGGAACGTCTTATACATGGGGACATATGCTAGGTTTTTTTTTTCCAACTTGTCTGTAAATATCCCTCATCTCACATTTTCCATGGGTCCCCTGGTGCCCTGGTTGGGGCCTCACTCAATAAGCTAGACCAGGGGTCGGCAAACTGCGGCTCACGAGCCACATGCGGCTCTTTGGATAAGGCTCGCGAGCCGCAGTTTGCCGACCCCTGGTCCAGTCTAGGGCACTTCACCCAACAGGCGAGAATCTCCCAGGTGGTCTCAATGCGGCAGCCACAACACTGCCTCTCTCCCCTCCCCTGTGTCTGCAATCAGGAGACGTCAAGGAAACCAAGGAGCTTTTCAGGAAGAGGTTGGTGACTCCTGTAGGTAACCAATAAATAGACTTTCTATATTTCTACTCACCGCCTCACCTGCCTTGGTCTGGATCCTCTCCAATTTTCCTTCTTGTCTCAGCTAGAAAAAAATTAAAGATGAGAAAAAAAAGAAAAGAAAAATGAGTCCATAATAAATAGTAACAAACTCTTACTATGCTGGGCATAGGCTGGGCCTCTGGATTCCTGGTCTTCTAGTCCCCACTTCATTTTCAAATGAAATATCCAAGGAAAGGAAGTCGCTAGAAGAAATCTTAAGGTTTTATTTCCCCTCTGCCTTCCTCTGAGCTCACCAATTTCTCCTCCTCAAACAACTTCTTGTTTTCAGGGGATGCATATACAGCCAGTCCTTGAGAAAGTAGTTGATTACGGCCCACAGATTTCTTCACGGAGACCAGGTCACCCCGCACGCCAAGTTCTGCCAAAGAGAACAGACACTGGATCAGAACTATCTAGGAGTCAGTCCCTAAAGAGAAGATGATGAAAGAAAGGAGCACCTCTTATTCTCTCACAGTTCTTATTCTTCCTATTAGAAATGTTAACATTTGCTAGAAACAACATTTAAGAGACTTCGAATTGGCTTCTTTAGGGCCTGATTTAGAAACAATAGTCCCTGTACCAAGAGAGGCAGCGTCCCGTCACAGGATTTCAGTATCGGTGGGTGGCACAGACGACCTCCCCGACTGCTCCCGCCACACATACTTAATGATCCCTCATTCTTGTTCTAATTGTTTATGCAGAAGGCCAATGTCACAATCCCAGTACTTTTTATGGCTTCCCCTTCTAAAAAATAGAGCTGATCTTTGCCACAACGTAGGACAGGGCAGCAAACAGCCGAAGGACACGGGCAGGAAAAAGGTGATGCCAAACACAACCAGCCCGAGAGGAAGGACCTCTGCCCAGGCCTTACCCTCTACCGACTTCGTGAGGATGAGCTCCAGGTTGTCTTTGGGCCCGTGCTTCGTGTCCTCCACCAGCTTGTAGACGCGGTGTCGCCGGTGCAGGCGCGGCTTCCGGCCCTCCCCGGCCAGCGGCACCTTCCACCAGCGCTCCACGATGACCGTGCCCTGGCGGCGGGGGGAGCGAGGGTGAGCGAGTCTCCACGGAGAGGCCCCCTCGTCCCCCCGCCGTCGGCCCTTCCAGAAGAGCCCGCCACGTCTCCACGCGCCCCCAGAAATGAAGCTCGGACGTAAGTGGTCCCCCTGGAGTCAAGTGCCCCATAACCCAGACCCGGCCCTCACCCGACTGTGAGAGAGGCTGAAGTCGCGCTCCGGGCCGGGGGTGCCCGCTTCGAGTCGCGGCCGGAGAAGCGCCCGGACTCCTCCTGACAGCAGCCGCTCAGCGCCTGCACGTAGCAGAGCCCGGCCCGGGGCCACGATGGGGGCCGCCATGTTCCCGGGCGCGGAGAGGCCCTGGCGGCGGCCCGGCGCAGGCGCAGGCGCAGGCGCAGGAAAGGCCCCCGCCGGGTGCCCGCGGCGCGCCTGAGGCGGCGTGACTCCGTCCCGCTGAAAGCAAGCAGACGCGGCGCGGGGTGGGCAAGGTGTGGGCCTGTGCTCACGCTTCAGCGTCTTCCTCACTCTCTTCTCCCTGTTTCGTTCCGGGAAAGGGACGCCCATAGTTACTGACAGAGGGGAGTGAACGTTAGGTGAACTGACACAAAAAGACACTGTCTCCCCCTTGGCTTCGCTTTATCCTTAAAAAGGGGGCTGTGGTTCAGCTCTCTGAAGTCACTTCCAGTTCTGACAGTCTGCGATAACTGGGTACTGAGGGAGGAGGGTGGCTGCCCTCATTTCCCCGTACTTCAAATCTATCTAAAGGTGGTGGAAAGTTGGGGTCCTCTGGAAAACCGTGCCAACCCACTCCTAACGGTCTCAGCCTGTTGGCTTAAAGTACTATAATATGAATATGCCAGCGACTTGCAAGTTTCTATTTCCACCCTAGACTTCTAAACTTGAATATCCAACTTCTTACTTGTCGCCTTCCCCTTACATGTCTCCTGGACTAGTCAAGTTAACGTGCTCCAAACTGCCTCACTTGCAGCTTTTCCTGTCTCAGTTGATGGAGACGCCAGCCTTTCAGTTCTTGGACTCAACTTCTTTCTCTTGTCTTGCTGCACAATTAACCCCTGATCGTTCGCAGAATGTAAAAGAATTTATGAGACTCTACAAGAGTAAACAAGATTTATTGAAAGTCAAAGAGACAGTGCTGGCAAAGGGAAGTTTTGCCAGGACGGAGCCCGATAGGGAGAGCTGCGGAGACAGAGGAGTACGAGAGAGATACTGGCAAATGGAGTTGTGCCAGGGCAGAGTCCAATGGGGGACAACTGCACCGAGGAGGAGAAATGCTGGGGTTTTATATTCTTTTCATGCAGGATGTAGGATGCTTGTCAGCTTACAGGGGGGTTGCCGTTCCAATTGTTTTCTCCTGGGAACTGCCCTGTTCCCATCTATGATGGATGTCAGCTTGCAGGGGATTGCTGTTGGGATTGGGAACCACTCTGTTCCCATCTATGATGGGTGTTTGTTAGTTTGTAGGGGGTTGCTGTTGCAATTGGGAACTCTTCTGGTCTCACCAGTGATGGAAGTAAGGCGCTTGTCAGCCTGCAGGTGCAGTGCTAGCCAGGGGAGTCAGAGCCCAGGGGTTAATGTTTAAGCTCGTCCCTGTTAACTCTTTGCCTGTCCCATCCTGCCAGGTCACAAACCCGCTCCCGTTAACTCTTTACGTGTCTCATTATCTCTCATTCAGGAAATCCTGTGGGTTCTACCTTTAAACTACTTCCAGAATCCAGCCACTTCCCACCACCTCCAATGCTTCATCCTGGAAAAAGACACTGTCCTTCTCCTGGATTACTGCGATGGTCTCCTAACAAATTTCCCTTGATGATCTACAGTTTATTTACATCAGTTGGAATCTTTTTAAAAACAGTAAGACCGATCATGTCACTCTTCTAGCCAAAACTTTGAGACGACTTCCCCCTTTACTCAAAGCAAAAGGCCATCCGATGGTCTACAAGGCCCTATATGATCTGGTCCGTTAGCTCTCTGACCTCAGCTCCCTGTACTCTCTGTACAGCTTACTCTGCTCTGCCCAGTGGCTTCCTTGCTGTTTCTTGAAAACACCAGGCACATTTCCTCCTTAGGGCTTTTACATCAGCTGTCGCTTAGGCATGGATTGCTCTTACCCGTAAATGTTGGCTTGGCTAACTCCCTCACCTCCTTCAAGTCTTTGGTTAAATGTTACCTTTCCAATGAGGCCTCCCTGGATCACCCCATTTATTCCTGCAACCTGCCCCAGCCCCTTCACACTCCTGATCCCCCTTCATCCTTTTTCCCCCCTTTTCCTCTTTCCTTTGTCCTTTTTTCTCCATTGCAGTTATCTTCTAACATACTAAATGATTTGCTTATGTTTACTGTTTAGGTTTGTTCTCACTGTTAGAAGATACATTCCATGGGGCAGGGTTCTTTGTTGACTGATGTACCCCAGGCACCCAGGATAGTGCCTGGCTCATAGTAGGCCCTCAGTAAGTACTTGTTGAATGGATGAATGAACATGCAGCGGTCTCAAACTGGTGGCCTCAGAATCACAATGTTGCTTTTCTTTTCTTTTTCTTTTCCTTTTTTTTTCTTTTAATTATTTTTTATTATGAAATACACATTTTTTAGAATTAGTTTCAGCTGTGCAACACAGTGCAATAGTTATTACTTTTTACCCCTCGAAGTGAAAACCCCCCTCCCCCAATCTGCCACCCCACTCCCCCCAATATCATACATATCTAATACAATTCCCTTGCCTCCACTCCCACACAATACTCCACGTCCGATGACCATATATATATATATATATATATATATATATATATATATATATAGTTGACATACAATATTATACAACATCAGCTTCAGGTGTACAGTGCAGTGATCAAGCCTCTTCCCCATCCATGATGCGGTCTCCCTAGCAAGACATGTGACCACCTGACACCCTACAAAATATTTACATTATTAATTATATTCCTCTGTCTTTCATGTCCCTGTGACAATATTGTAGTTGCATATTTATGCTTTCTAACCCCTTCCCCTTCTCCCTCATCCCCACCCCCTTCCAACTAGCAGCCATCAGTTGTTCCTCTTTATCTCTGAGACCACTTCTGTTTACTTTCCTCGTTCATTCAGTTTTTTAGATTCCACATATAAGTGAAATCATATGGTATTTGTCTTTCTCCGACTGACTTATTTCACTTAACATAATAGTCTCTAAGTCATCCATATCGTCCCAAATGGTACGATTTAATTCTTCTTTATAGCGGAGTAATACTCCATTGTATAAACGTACCACAGTTTCTTAATCCAGTCATCTACCGATGGGCATTTCGGTTGTTTCCAAGTCTTGGCTATTGTGAATAACGCTGCAATCAACATAGGGGTACATATATTTTTTCAAATTAGTGTCTTGGGTTTCTCTGGATAAATACCCAAGAGTGGAATTGCTGGGTCATACGGTAGTTCCATTTCCAGTTTTTTGAGATATCTCCATACTGATGCTTTTCTTTTTTTAATCAAGGTTTTTTGTTTAGTTTTGTTTGCCAATGTTAAAAAAAATTGGAGAAATTTGCCATAGAAACCTGTCTTTCCAGTTTCTGTTGAAAATCATACAGTGTGGTACCACTGAGTCTGCATTGCTGCATGGCAACAGGATGGATAGAGCTGAGTTGTGTCAGCTTGAGACAGGGTGTGAGCTTTCCTTTTCGCTACAGCCCCGCCAAGCAGCTCCACTAATTGCTTTTAGCCCTTTGGGCCCCTGGAGGCATTTAGCTGGCAATTCCTACCCTGCAAGGCAGTGAGAAAGTGCAACTATGTGAGGCCTTCCTGAGTTATTAAGGGTAAGGATGATAATAAAAATATTGAACTGATAGGAACCGAGAAGTAGCCAATCAGGTGAGACCTTGCAGAAAGGTCTTGGAAGCCTCCTGAAGTGTCAGACACCAATCCTTTAGTTGCTGAATTTTAGGGGAGTGTGTATGTGTGTTGTGGGACAGGCAGGACTGTTGACCAACCAGCACAGAAGCTAAAGCATTTTAACCACTGTCACAACTGTGACGTGCATACCTGGCTAGGGGGGAGGGTGGGGGCCTGAAGTGACATAAGGGCTGACTCGTGCCCGTGTCATAGTGCCTACCGGGTCACAATGGCACCAGGTGGCCTAAACCTCTGCCACCCATCCTGGAACCTCACTTTGCCGCGGGGAGGCACTGAACTGAGAAACTGCCTTGTTACAGGTCGCGCCCCTCTTTCTACTCCCTTTCTTATATCAAGAGGGGAAAAACACGGAACTACCTCTACCCGATCTGGTCACCGTACGCCTATTACCTCTACTGTTACAAATACCGGCTCACCCTCCGGGAGAAGATGCTGCCTTGTTACAAAAGGTACTTGTTTTCATCTCTACTTGGGGTGGTTTATGTAAACTATATGGAAAAATAAAAGAATTTGAAAGAACTTCCCAGTGGCAAGAGATGATAATAGGAAAATAGGGTGGAAGGCTGGCATGGCACGTTAGAATTTTTCCAGCTGGCTGGCCTGGGAAAGTGGACACAGGCTGGTTCACAGAAGATACATTAGATAGTGGCAGAGCCTGGTCCCTGGAAGTTAGGACCCTCTCCCCATCTCAGACTTAGAGATAAACTAATTTGGGCCTCTTTTTTCCAATCAGCATCATTTATAAGGAACAGGAGGACTTGACACTCCGGCCCCGTTCCTGCCTTCAGTGCTCCTGAGTCCCTAGCAGGCCTCCAGGGGGGCAGGCGCACCGAGCAGGCTGACGGTGACCAGCTTAAAGAATTGTACTCGGTAAGTGGATTGCGAGCTGGTGCTGTCGGGTTGGTGCTGGGCAGCCCCGTGCCTGCTGTAATGATACCTTGCAGAGAAGGGACGTTCGCTAGTTGGAAAACAAATCCTAGAAAGAGCTGGATGAGGGCCTTGGAGCTCATGTGTAAAAGCTACTTGCTTTAGAGACAAGGATTCTGGCCCGGAGACCTTCAGGCAAGTTCATAGAGCTGGTGGTGAAAAGCAGGATGGGAAAAGCGGAAGTAGGAACCTAGGTAGAGCAGGCTGTATTGAGTCTTGTGGGACATATGGCTGTTCAGATGCTAATGGACTCGAACTCAGAACTCCTGTGCTTGCCCTTGTGTCATATTGTAGCGTGCCTGTGTGTAACCTCTGCATTTTAGATGAGAAATGGGAGAATTTAGAAAAAATCCATATGATGGGAAAAGATGGAGTATTATCAGTGAGAGTGTGAACAGTTGGTGCAGCATTATGATGTAAATGGCAGTTTCTAAGGGGGAAGTGCTCCCCAGGTGAGGTTAGCTCGGGTAACTGCCCTGACTCCCAAGAGTCCAGTTGTTTGATATGGGGAACTCCATGATAGGGGAGTTAGGTCCTCGGACTAAAGGCTACTGTGGCTTCAGTCCTCCCACGCTCTCCGTTGGCTCTCTCCTTGCTTCCACAGACACATCCCAGTGGGCCTGAGATTTGAGGTGTGGACTGGGTGCACACAGGAGCAGGACACTGTGACCCTCACTTTGACTCCTTTTTCAGGCTGGTAACCTGACGGTCCTTGCGACTGACCCCCTGCTCCATCAGGACCCGGTGCAGTTAGACTTCCACTTCCGCCTCACCCCCCGGACCTCTGCCCATTGGCACGGACTTCTCTGTGACCATCGACTCTTCCTGGATATTCCCTATCGGGCCTTGGATCAAGGCAACCGGGAAAGGTGACTGAGCCTGGAGGGGAGAGGAGTGGGACGAGGGAGGGCGCGCCTTTCTCTTATTGCGTCATAGTCAGGTACTGGGTGTGCCCACCTGAGGGCTGACTCAGGAGCTGGATAGTTCAAAACACTGAAGGGATGTGCAGACAAGCCTGTGAGCCGGCCCCGGGGTCTGGGGTTCATGGGCTAACAGCCAGTCCATGGGAGATTGCTGGGTTCAGTCAGAAACACAGATGAACCATAAACAGCTGAACGGGTGTTTTCCAGCTGTTTTGTTTGTAGAGCCGTCCTTTCTCCCCAGGCCCTTCATGGCATGGGTGTCCATCTAATCGTGTAGGATCCCTTGGCTTCAGAGAAAACCCTATCAAAACGAGTCTAGCAACTTGCATTTCCTGACTGGGGTCCACAAAAACTGAGCAATAGATTTCTGTCCAACCAAGTAGGTGCCTCTCTGGAACATTTCTGGAAATGTTCGCTCACCATTTCGTTAACCGTGATTTTTCTCTTTGGATCCTAGCTTGACCGCAACACTGGAGTATGTGGAAGAGAAGACCAATGTGGGCTCCGTGTTTGTAAACTTCCAAAATGACCGCAACGACAAAGGTGGGGATCTGCTATCCTCCTGGGTCCTTGGTGCCGAAGCCGCTATCAGTGATTCTCCCTTTTAGGAGATCCTCTTCCCCCCAACTCTTTAAAAAGGGCACCCTCAAGCATTTCAGGGTTCCAGCCTCCCCTCCCCCAAGGAAGTTAAGGTATCTAGCATTCTGTTCAAGTTACACCTGAACTATCAGGAAGTCCCTGCAGGTAGGTTTCAGGAGGCCGACTGAGCACTGGTGGGATTCCAGAGCCCATTCAAGGCACCTGGCTGGTAGGACAGAAAGGGTAGCGAGTGGATTAAGCACCTCGTGTGAAAGGGTCGGGCAACAGGCCAGGAGAGGGATGTAGTTCACCAGGTGCCTGGAGTACATGTTACAGAAAGTACCTCCTCCCTCAAGCAGTGGTGACGAGTTTACAACACAGTCATTGTGTTAAGCACTTTGCAAACATCATCTGGTTTAATCTTAAATTCTGTGAGGAAGGTTCTAAAATCCCCCCTTTACAAATGCAAAGACTGAAGTTCAGAAGGGTTAAGTCACAGACTGTCATACAAAGCCAGGGTTAGTCTTCAGTCTGGCTGACCCCAACAGCACACCGCCCCCATGGCTGCACCACACTGCTGCCCACAGCCACTCCCTGGTGGGAACCCCAAACCCTAGACAATCGCCCCAAGTTTCAGAGCATTCTAATTGTTCTCTCCTTTCACAGGTGCCCTGCTTCGGGCCTTCAGCTACATGGGCTTTGAGTTGGTCAGACCAGATCACCCCGCCCTTCCTCCCTGGGACAATGTCATCTTTATGGTGTATCCCCTTGAAAGGGACCTGGGCGACCTGCCCAGCGAGCCTCCCTGAACACGCTGATTCCTACAGGCTGGGAGCCCTGATCCATGGGACCCAGGGACCCAGGATGTGATTGAGGACACCTTCCTCCCACCTAGGAATAAAGGGCAGTGCAATCTCCAAGTGTTCCTGTTTCCTGGGGGCAGGTGGGCTTGGCTGGAGTGGGCCGTGGGCCTTAGAGCTGGGTTCACTGTAGGAGGAGCATTTAATGACTGAACAGATCAGCGGGACCTGAACCAAAGAGGGAAGGGACCCAGGGATTTAAGGCTCCTTTTGCGTCCCCCCCACCCCAAAGCCATTTCCCCATTTTTTTCTAACCCTTTCCTGAGCACCGGCCAGGAGCAAGAACCAAGCCTTCCGGGGAGATTTTCATCCACATATTTGAGTTCAAATGGCAGACAAGTGCTAATGCCTTGTCTTTGGATGTGGGGATTGGAGAAGGAACACTTGGGTCCCGCGGCTTTGGCTCAAGGGGATGTCCATAGACACAGTAAGAACTAGGAAGCGTGGAAGAGGTCATTCCAGACAGCAGGAAAGTACAGGGTTATACTGGAAGCACACAAGGAGCCCATCAGAATGGGGGAAACTGAGAAGAACTAAAGGCCACATTAAAGGAAGACTCAGACACAGCAAACTGCAGCTAGGAAGACACACACTTTTTTCAGAGCAGGACGTCTTACAAGGAATGACCTATGTCAGGGGACCTTGCTACCTAACAGGAAAGGATGAGGAAACAGTTCTCAGTGGCCTCCTGACCCCGTTAGAGAGCAGCTCCAATTCCACGAGTTCACGGCAGCCAAGGTCTGAAAGGTCAGATCAGTGGCAGCCGCCCCGATTCCCCCAAGACCACGGGAGCCACTCAGCACAGCTGCTCCTTCACGGGAGCCTCTGCTCATTGGTGGAGACTTTTCTGAGAAAATAAATTCTGAGAATCGTGGCTATGGGAAAATAAGAGTTGCCACGCACTGTGTGGGTAGGTCTTGATAATTCCTAGATTAAAAAAAAAAAATCCAGCACATGGCATCCTTATGTGTTAACGTCAAGTTTTCCAGTTTACCTCTGATCCTCAAAAAAAAAAAAAGTTCTTTCGCTATTATTCTCCTGGCCACATTATTATGCATTTATATTTACTTTTGAGTACCTTCTCAGTTCTCATCGGACCCTCACAATACTGTCAGAATGGACATTCTAAAGTCTTATAGAACGTTTACAGCTTTCTAGAATCCTAAACTAGGCCTTTTCTCCCAGAGAGCATCGGTGGGGTCTTACTTACACAGCCCAAAGCCAGGCTGGTTCTGGTTCTCAGCGGACGGCTCATTCAGAGCGAGTATGATGTGAACACGGGAGCGACACTTCTCCATAGACAGGGCCCTCTGTGTCAGCTGTGTGGCAGTTTCCACCAGATTTAGGTCTGGAAGGTACCGGAGGCCTGCTTCCCCCTGACGAGTCAACAAGCATTTAGTTTCAGATAACTTTTTGAGAACTTTATTCAGCAAAGAATCTCCTGAATGCTTTAAACAGGTACGTATGTCCCCTCTCTGGGTGTGTGCCTGTATATTACAGACACCATACTGGCGATCGAGAGTATTTCCCGAGCCGCCTTTCTCCTTGTCTCCTTGTATTTTAACCAAAGTGTACAGGGTCATAGCTGGAGCAACACCTCAAAAAACCCGTCTCCAATAACAGTGGCAGTGGAGGCCGGAGGCTTAACATAAACAGGCTGCTCTGTGCCTCTGCCCCCGGACTCAACTGCAGCCTTCGAGTTCACCACGCAAACACTTCTTTTAGCCAGTCACTTGCTGAGGTGAGTCAAGGTCTGCAGAACCATCACTGCCGGTGACCACACCCTGGCTGCTTCCCAGCCCCCAAAGGATGCGGCCTACATTAAGTAGTGTGCATCCTGATGGCAGGGGGGACAGGTGTTACGTGCAGGTGGACGTAACGCATTCAAACTCTGGGAGGGGGTGGCAGGTGGTGTAGGAGCACACGTGTCTCCCTCTACCCCACACACTTCCTGGCAGTCCAGTGGAAGAAGAAAATGTATTTGGTCCACAGCAAGCCAGATCGTGTGTGGAATAAACAACTGCATAGATCTGTTGCTCACAGGCGCCTCCTCTCCAGGCACCCAATCTGTGCCAAATCCTGCCAAAGACAAAAACAAAGACACAAAAAGCTTGGAAGGGCTCAATCTGAGACTAAGTTCAAGCTGCAGGAAAGCAGCTGTGGAGACGTGGGCTTGGGAAAGAAAGAACAAGCGAGGCCCCCGTTGTCACCCCATTATGTTTCCCATTGCTACAGACAGCTGACAGCTCCACTCACACAGCAAAGCAGGAGGTGGAAGCAACGACGCTGACTTCAGATTAAGTAATCATCTTCAAGGTTGTCATCAGCAGACAGAGAGGCAGCTTCTGTGCAGCAGAAACGAGAAGTGAGGCACTGCCCTGGTGCAGCAGGCCTGCCCGAGGCGCAGGGGTGCTCCGTGACCACCGGGGTTAGGAGCCGGCCTTCACAAGCCCCCCCAGTCTGGAGAGACCGACTAATGGGAACCTCTGAAAATGCTCCAGGAGGAAGTGCTGTTGGTACCTGACAGGCTGAGGCAGGACAGGGTATGTGCCATCTCCCCAGGGCTCTTCTTGGTCTCTGTGAGCAGGCTGCTATCAGAGACATCTGCATCTGTGGCCTGAGAGGAAGGAGACAGAAAGGAAGAATGTGTCGGCTGGCGGGAAAGGAGCGGCCACTTTGTCACTCGCTCATAGGATCTGATTCAGGCAGCTGAGTTTGGCTGCCGAGAAGGCCACATGCCTCCTTTGATTGTGACCCTAGTGGAGCAACTCCGAGTCCTTAGGAAGCTCTCTACAAAACGTCCCGCGTGACCAGGAGCCTCCTGTCTTCACGGCACGAGAAGTGCCCTGGAGGAGCGCCGGCAGTGACCGCAATGCCTCACTCACCACATCCAGCAGCGTGTCTGAGACACCTCTGTTCTCTCCCACGTCTTCAGGGAGCTCAACTGCGTATCCTTTGCGAACTAATTCTAACCCAATATCAAGTTTCTGAGAAGAAAAAAGGAAAAGGGAGTGAGGTTCTCTCTAAGGAAGGGCAAATCTGAAGGAACAAAGAGGCAGGACTGATCCTCTGAGGACACGCCTCTGGGCGGACGGGAAGCAGGACTTACAAAGTATGGCAGTCGTATCAGATCAGGCTTTCTGGGCGAGAAAAAGCAAATGAGCCGTTGAGCAACGAGCGACCCCCGTCTTACCTTGCCATTGCTGGTATCATACAAGTAGATCTTGGGCCAGGTTGAGACCCCAGTCTGGACGTAGCTAGAGATCTTGGCCACCAGGGGCTTCCAGCCGGCACAGTGAGTGAGCCTGTCAAACTCATCCAGCGCTGCTTCTTCCCACTGTCCGCCTGGCAAAAGATGGCGGGAGAGCCTAAGGGGGTGTGCTGCCGGCGTGGGCTACACCCTGGAGGGAAGCTGCAACTGCCTTTCTATTCCGGAAGGCACCTGTGTCTGTCCGCCAGGCCAGTTTCTGGCTGTGGCTTTCTAGTGCTGGTAAGAAAAAGACACCAAGCCCCTAGAACTCAAAGAGCCTGGACTGTGAGAAGCCCTGCCATGTGCTGTGTCAGTTATTCTATTTGAAGCCAAGGTCAGCGGGTGTTGGGACTCATTTACCTGCGGGGGCAATCCGTGCCAGACTACACTCTATTGCTTGAAATGGAAGGCTTAGGAAGTCACTCCTGAAGTGAAAGAAATTGAAGTTAGAATCCCAGCACCGAGTAGCCCCAGGGGAGAAGACACTCACCGGCTCTATGCAAGTATGTTCTCTTCCGAACCCCCACCCACCCCTGTGAGGAGTGTCAATAGCTCGCCGCCCCACAGCCAGGGCCGAGTCAATAGCTGGGACTCCAGCCTGACTCCAACCTGGCCTGCACTGACCTGAGTGCCCTGAGGTCCCTCAGTGGGCAGTCGCCATTATCTCCAAAGTCAACAAAATAGAGGTCCAGATTCCCATTCTCCAAGGTGCCAAGGACCCGGGCTCGATACCAGGAACCATTTGTAAGTAAAGGTGCTGCTACAATGTCGCCTACGTGCACAGTCAAGTCTTCGGGCTACACACGGGATGAGGGGTTGGGAGAGGAGGGGAGAGTTAAGAAGGGGGAGGCCAAAAACAGATAAACCGGCAAGACCGGACGCAAGAAGGAACGAGGCACTGCTCCACAGGAAAAGGAAGCGAATATACCGCAAAGGAAAAGATAGGCCCCTTTTCCATCAAACCCAGCCCTGTCCCTGTGGAAGCTCACCAGGCTATTCTCATAGTGCTGGGTCATCTCACTGACAAGCTTGTCCAACTGCAGGCTGCGGGAGCCAATGATTTGGATCCAGAAGTGGTTAGGATGCTCAGAGGCAGACACGTATACTTCCAGGAACTCGTCAGCATGGAAACTGAAGTCAGGACTGGGGACTAAACACAGGGAAGGGCCAGCTAAGCTGCAGAACCACCACCATCTAATATGATGACCACATCAGAACCCGCTGTGGTTGGAATGGGGAAACTGCCCCGGCGGGGAGAGGTACAAAAATCAACTGGCTATTACCATAATAAAATGGTTCGAGAGACCCCGGGATGAATCATACAAGAACTTCTTGAAGAAAGATGCTAAGCTATGTTTTGTACCCTCCTAAGGAACTGAGTAATAAGAGTTTACATTTTTAGTCATCTGCCATGTACTCAAATCAGTCACCAGTTACAATGACGGTAAATCCTCCGTATTCCAGCTGCAGCATGGACCAGTGAAAAGGTACATGGACAGACATGGGCTCACTCCAGCTCCCAGTCTTCCACTGACTCATTATGTGACCCTGGAAAGTCTGGACATGCCCCTCTTCAGGGCCCTCGTTTTCTCTGCCCACCCAACACCCACGCACAGAAGAGAAAGCTCACAGCCTTTTAATTCTTCTTGAATGGCGATGATTTTCTTTTCAAATGATGAGACAGGCCAAAAAATAAAAGAAAAACCATCAGGTTGAGTATTTTACTTGTTTAGTAAGTACGTTTGGAGAAAGAATGTCATGTAAATTCAACTATTTGATATATTTATTACTCACAGCTTCGTTTCCTGTCAACAAGCATATTTCTATATTATTCTCTATCATTAGCTGGTTTGTACGTGTATTCATAAAAATATTATCTTTTGTTCTAATCCAAGTAAAATATTACCAGGAAGGCATATTTGTGACGAAAGATTTATGAGTAATCAAGAAAGTAGACATTTCTTTTATTGTTTCCTCTGCTGAGTTCTCTCAGCCAGTGTCTTTATCGTCTATACAGCTAACAGGTTCCCCCTCTGTTACGTACTTTCAAACATGGACGTTCCTGGACTGGTCTGGGCTCCAGACTTCTGAAAGGTGTCACCATCAGGCTTCTCCCAGGAACCTTCTTCTGGCCCTACAACCGCCATGTCGCCACCACCTTTGCGAGGAGGAACTGCCAGCGGTGCAGCCTGTTCCGGGCTGGCACCAGAGTTTTTCCAGAAAGCTGGCTCTCCGGCTGCAGCCGGCTCTATCACTTCCTCTCTTCTTACACTAATTGGCTGCTTGCGTGGGACTCTCGTTTCGGCAGAATGAGCGATTCTCTTCCGAAGTTCTTCATCTTCTGAAACCTTCTCCAGTATCAAATGCTGTGGAAAGTAAAAGAGGGGATGATAGCTATGTGGCCAGATAGTTTGACCCAGGACAAATCTGACCCAGGAATATAAAGGGTTCTTCTCATTCTTAGATATGACTCAAGTGTATCAGTTACTTGCCTTGGCTGTCGCCACTTCCTTCTGTGTTCCTGAGATTTTTATAAGTCTTGATAGTAGTAACGTCCCCTCTGATTCTTTGTCACAGGTAATTTTGGCTCCAGAGGCCTTACAGATAGAACGGATCGTCTCGCCACCTCTCCCTACATTGAACAACATATAAAATCCTGTCCTTCTGTCCTGACCAACCATAATTCTAGAGAAATCACTATTTTGTATGTACGAGTACTAGGAGAGTCCGTTCCCATTGCCACACTGAGCAGAATGCAAAACACTGAATAGAAAGCAGGAGCTACTGAAATTGTAAGACGGGGACTACTGGGTTATTCGCTCTCCCCATCTTAGAGCACCTCTAACACCGGCTGGTTTAATTTCTCCATGTCATTTCCACTTTTTGCCCACTCAGTGTATGTCACATCCCCACTTTATTAGAAGAGACCCCACACGCTGCGTGAAACATGGGACCAAGGACAGGACACGTCTCTGCTTCGAGCAGCAGCATAAGGGATGCTCTAGGGCAGCGGTTCTCAACCTTTCACAGGGGTCGCCTAAGACCATCGGAAAACATATTTTCGATGGTCTTAGGAACCGAGACACTGCTCCTCTATCCGTCTCCAGGCCCACATGCAGATACCCCCACATATGAGTACCTGGCGACCCCTGTGAAAGGGTCGTTTGACCCCCAAAGGGGTCGCGACCCACAGGTTGAGAACTGCTGCTCTAGGGGAAGCCTGACAGGAGCTCTCTGGAGCACCTTGAAAGATCGGGGGAAGGAAGGAAGCTTCCTTTGCTTCCCTCTAAAAATCTATTATGAGGTAAGGGCGTTTACCCGAACCCCTCAGGAACCTATCTGTAAAGTTCAGATCACACAACCTCTTGAGGATATGGTTTTTGCTTTACCAATGGCTCTGTATGAAAGTAAAGCTCTGGTCTCAATGTCCCTTTCTTTTTCCCAGCAAGGTGAGGGGAAGTAGGCCAGGAAAGACCCCTGGGAAGGTGTGAAAGACAGGTAAAGGTAAAGAAAAAAAGGCAACAGCAGAGGAAGCTGTCCAGTGGTACCTATGATTCTGCCCACAGATCTCTGAGGAACTGAGAGCTGCTCAGACACTGGGGCACTCTCTGTCAGGATCTGATGGATTGCTGCTTTGGCTTTGCACACCTGAACAGGAAAACCACTGATAAGCAGCACCCGCTCATCGCCTACATCCTCTGTGTCCACATCAATCCGAGCACCGGTTTGCTTCCGCAGCTGCAGAGAAAAGGATACCATTCGGGTCAGCAAGGTACTCGGAACCCGACCCTGGAGGCGGATGGAACTGGACACAATTACCAGCCAAATCGGGTGCTATAAGCAGTTCCCACTCACAGGTGTACTTATGGAAAGAGATTAGTGACAAAGGTAACCCTGAATAGCAGTTAATTTAAAACGGTTTCTCTTTGGGTACAGAACGGTTTCCTCCTGATTTTATCTGGATTAGAGAATTAAATATTTTGTTTCCTTGACATTCCACTTGAACAATGGAAGATGATAAGAAGAATCAGGCAGCTATTCAATATTTACTGTCAATTAATGAGAGTTTATTAATTTCATAGTAGAGAGGAATGGTTTATGCTATACCAAGCCGAGACTCATCCAATCAAAAATCCCCGTTTTGAGCCAAGTCATGTCATCCATTTTCAAGGGAGCGGAAGTACTCATCTCCAGAAGGTAACCAGCATCTTAACTAAAACGTTCCTGTATTTTTTTTCTTTTTAAAATATACACAGTGTGGGTGGGTTCTGTGAGATGGGGCAGAGACGGGAAGCAGGGTGCCTGCGCACGCGCTTACCTGTTTAATGTTGGTGCCCTGCCGGCCAATGATGAGCTTCACAGCCTCCTGGGGCACTCGCATCTCTATCTCGATGTCGTCCTCCCCAACAAATGTCAGCCGCTCTTCTGCACAGATCACGGCTCATCAGATCGGACTTGGATAACACCCACAGACAGCTACTACGAGCCCTCCCCTGAACTGAGCTGTCAAAGAGACACTGATGCAGGAGATAAAAGCAAGGTCTCAACCACAGTGACAAGCCAGAAGTGGCAGCTGAGTGGGAATCGGAAGATCCGGAAAGACGGGTAAATGGTCATTGTCTCTGGGATACAGTTTCAGACGCTAAAATGGGGAATGCATTTGGCTCTGCAAGAGAGGTGCTGGGTTTTTAGGCGAACTCTTCATCTTGGAGAAGAACGAAGGCTGCAAGTCGCCCAAGGAGTCCATTAGGCTCACAGCTTCTCCTGTTCGTACATAAATCATTTCCCTAGGTCTAGCCTCTGGGGAAACTAAACCCCAAGCTAGTCTTCTCCTAATAACTGAATAGAAGGAGCATATAAGGGCCGGCTGAGTGGCTCAGTTGGTTAAGAGCTCGCTCAAGAGTTTGAGCTCTGAGCAACAGCGGTTCGAGTCAGCCCGAGCTGAGCAGCCGNTCTGAGCAACAGCGGTTCGAGTCAGCCCGAGCTGAGCAGCCGTGAGCTGCCAACAGGTGGCGGGATGGCTCAGGTAAAAAAAAAAAAAAAAAAAAGGAGCATATAAAAAAGAGTATAGATATTTTTTAAGAAAAGGAAAAAGAACCCACTGCAGCGTTGATGTTGCTGAAAGGACTAGATCAATAGAATCATAAAATGAATTCATTTCATAGAAATGATAGCTTCATATAAATGATAATAGCTTCACATTAAGAACAGAGATAAAAAGAAACCAAACAGTTTCAGTCAAAGAGCCCTCATAGAAAGCCAATTACATTCCAACAAACGCTTTCAGGTTAGCAAGGCCTGAACGCCGCCTGCCATTTCCATATGTACATGCGTGGGGTTCACATACCTCTGCTTTCCCTGTATCTGCGGTACAGGATGTAGGCGATCGCCGCACTGGCTGGAATCCCGAGGCCCAGTGCTATTTTCTGAATAGTGGACAGGCTTGTCCAAGAAGTCCGTTCAGTGGACATTTTCTGCTGTCCTCTGACTTACATCCTGAAATAAGCAAACGAGGGAAAAGAAGGCGCTTTCATCCAACACCTTTATGACTGGCAGGGAGACATGGGAACATGTTACAATATTATTAAAAAGAATATACCAAAGGAAAGGAAACAAGCTGAGTTTCATAAAGGAGATTTTTTTTTTCTTAAGTAATTCTTCAATATATGAACCTGAAACTACCACTTTCCTACATTAAGATATGGTTTGTTCTGGGTGCCTAGAAGAGACTTCAGTTCTTTTATGTGCTGGTTACTTCATATATTTTCTCATACGGGCTCTTAAGTGCAAGCGTGTCTGCACTATAACGTGCCTCGTTAAACAGTGCTAGCTAGCTAGCGCTCTGTTATGGGCGCAGCACGCTGGGAACACAAGGAGGAGTAAGAACTGCCCAGAGATGGTCAAGTAGAAAAGATAAACAGCAAAACAACTCATTACAAGGCAATGCGAAGACAATATAAATGCTTGGTTCATGCAACAGCTGGGAGGAGCTAGAACTTAAAAGGCTTATTTCTTAGATAGTACATAGGTGAGTACCACCCCATTAAAATACAAATAATTTATCTTCTACATTCAAACCAATAAATATTTAGTATCCAATGGGTGCTTGGCTGTGAGGAGACAACAGTCCAGACAGACTTAGTAGCTGGCTTCACAGAGCTTCCTATCAGGCAGGGAAGGTCTTATCTTGACAGGTAGCGGTCTGTAGGTGTTAAAGGTTTGGAGAAACTGAACAAATGTAGCCCACTAACTCAATCCGCACTCCAATGCTGCCTGCCTTTAATACCATCTTTCTGGCCACAATTCATGCTTACAGGGCATAGAAAGCATAGAATTTTAGAACTAGAAGGGACCACAGAGATTATCTGATTCCACTCATGTTGCAACTGGGGAAACGGAAGCCCAGGGAAAGAGAGAGATTTCCCAAACGATACGCAGCTCATTAGTCATTTCCACACAAAGCAGTGTGCAGTGTGGTTTGAAGAACAGTCAGAGTGGCATCTCTTCAAGGAAACTCAAAGGACTAATAGCCATTGTTTTTTTCCAGTTCAGAAACTATCAGGGGCAAGGCAAAAAATCCTCTGGCTCTGTAGCTAAAGCCCCGCCTCAGTCCTGACCCTTTACACCACGCTGGGTTTCATCACCATGGGGTTCCCCAGTACTCCAAACATCCCTTCAGTGCACATGCTTTGCTTATCATGTCTGATTAAACGGCTGTGTCTGCAGGGAGAGTGAACTGAAGGCAGCAACGGTAGGCGTCGGGAGACTAATTCAGGGGCTAGACCAGGTGTCAGCGATCAAGATGCAGAGGAGGAGGATTCCAGAGCATTTTAATAGGTAGACTACATAAGACCTAGCAATTGATTTATGGAAAGGTTCGAGGCTGAGCCAAGGAGCTCACTTGAGCACCTGGTAGATAGTGGTGTTTTGAGATAGAGAATATCGATGATTTGGTGGCGGCGGCTTGTGTGGTAGGAAGATGAATGTCCGTGACCAGGATAAATTTGTTGGGTGACTTCTATTTGAACCAAAGGCTACATTTTACTAACTCCTCTTCAGATATTACAAACGAAGTTTGTGCTAAGTGAGTTATCGGCTGTGGTCTCCGAAGAATGAATATCTACTTGATTGATCAAGTATAGTTTTGTTGATAATTTACACAGCCTTTCACACTACTGTAACTCTCTCTTTAGAAGAAAAGATGTAAAAGTGGGAAATAATATGATGGAAGCGGGGATAACTATATAGTATTGAATGCTGGCTTGTGTTTGATTTTATTACTTCCAATGGAGTGTGCAGAGGAGGAGAGTAGACATAATTAAAGAAAAAACAGGGCAAAATAAAAGGGAAACTGAGAAACGGATGGCGGTTCTCATTAAGGACCGGGCCACGGAAGGGTCCGAACTGGCGTGGGGCAAACGCTCTCCCACCGGGTCCGTTGTGGAATAACCCTGGGCGCAGATCGTTTGCTGTGGATACGGTTACAAGCCCCGGGGGTAAAGCTGCCCCCAACAGCGCCTCACCAGCCGGGGCTCGGACGCC